GGAGGTAAGTTTGAATGTTGTCAACCTCATGTTCTAAAGTTTTGTTGGTGCTGATGGTGGTTGCTTATCTGCTACATTTTGTTTTTGTTTATATTTGCAGGTTCAACTACTGGAACACATTCTGTGACACCAGCAGGTGGTCACACTGTTGTCTCATCACCTACAATGCGAGTGGTCAGTAGCAATGCATCAACCATTTCCCTTATCACACAGGCAGCCAATGAGGCTTCGGCTAGTGGTGGCAGACAGATTGTTACTGTGCCTGCAGGGCATGCAGGTTTGGCAGGATCAAAGGGTCCAGTTCAGATAACCATCACCCCAGCTAACCGTGGTGGTATCAACACCATCACCTTGCCTACCAACCTGAGGCAGATGGCCAAACCAGTTGTAGTGAGCACACCAGCAGCTAATGGCACACAGGTTGTCAGCTTGGGTGGAGCAGGTAATGCCCAGGTGTTGACAGTTACTCCCACTCCCTCAGCTTCAGGGGCTGCAGACCAGGTCGCCACACTTGTTAGTACAGAAGCAGCACCTGCTGATTCTGTTGGTGATGCAGGGCAGGCTGCAGAAGTTGAAGGTGCCATCCAACAGTTCGATGGCACCAGTGATGACATTATTGAAGATGGGGAAGTGTGCCATTTCGAATCCACTCTGATGCTCTACAGCTCATCTCTCACTGATGCCATGGAAGAGGATGTGGAGTACTTTGAAGAAAGTTATTGCAAACCTGACCATGATCATCTGTACTCTTTACCCAACTATTGTGAGGATGAGGACTACACAATTCCTCAATTTGATGGGGCTGGAGATGGTGGTAGTGATGATGAAGGTGGTCAAGAGGAAGCTCCAGACAAAGAGATGCCTGTTGAAGAAGATCATGATACACCAATGGAAACTGCTGAACAAGAGGATGGTCAAGAAAGCTCTGAACTTGAAGGTACTGAATCTGAGGGTGTGACAAATCAACAAGCTATGGAGGAAGGATTGCATGCTGATATGGGTCATATAGAACCATCACTTTTGGCTCAGGTAAATAGAAGAGCAATAATTCAGTAATTTAAGGCTGTATCATATTTTTGTAAATAAATTATTCCAAATCTTATTGGTTATTTTAGCTTTTTGTAACTTATCAGGGATTTTTTTCCTTTAAAATAACACAGCTGCCCATCAAGTTTACTAGGATTAAATATTTGCTAACTACATTAGCCTAGGTGTGGCAAAATATATACAGGTCGCAGCTGGGGCTGCGCAGCCACACGACTACTGCATTCCTCACTAATCTTCTGTCTTGAAGACAAACCTTATTATTATTATTAGCTTGGATAAAATATACATCACTGTATTGGCCATATAAATAATTTTCTAAAAATCTTAATGAAGTTGTTAGTTGCAGTTCATCACTCACACTGTAAGAAGGTATTATTCTGCGAGCATAAAATGCAATTATTTTTTTACAAATATTTCCTATTAGTTTGGAAATGTCCATTCGAGTTAGAACACTACTGTCTCTCAACTCAATTTTTTTTTTCTTTTGGCCAACAGTTACATCACATAGTCAAAAAATAGAATGAACATAATTTCAAAGAAATACTTAACACAATTAAGAACCCTGATTATTATTATGTTTTTTTTTCTTTTTAGGATGAGGGTAGTAATAATCATATGACAGATGCAGAGCTTCAACAACAAGCTGAGAGTGCTCTAGAAGCACTAGCTGAGGCTGGAGGTGTATTGTCTGCTCATGGTATGCTTGAGGATCATGGCCTGATGGACAGTGTTGGTTTGGATGGGATGCTAGCCCAGCCCACTTCAGCACTAGACACATCTCAGAATTCTGTAGAGCATGAGGACTCTGCTGGAGAGCTAACACAGCCTGAAGATGAAAATGAAACTAAGCCAGAAATTGATCTTAACCATGCAGAAACAGCTAACTCAAGTGATGCAATGGATGTAGCAGAAAATGGAAACTTGGTGCCAAAAGAGGAACCATCTGATGAGACCATTGCCCAGTTAGCGCAGACTTTAGCTGGTGCTTCAAATAATGCTGGTGATGCCTCAGGTAGTTATCCTTTTACTTGTATCAGGAACTAAGGTTAAATCAGAATTTACTGCGCATTAGCCCAATAGTTACTATTTCTAATTATCAAAAGTTGTTTAATTCCCAAGCAAGAAAAAAAATTTAATCTAAAAAACATAAAATTTTCAGTACCTTTAGAATAGGAAAAAAAAATCATAACACTGAATTTCTATTGTTAGCTTTACACCTGAAGTAATAGGACTTTCAATTGAAAATTTACTAATATAATAAAACATTAATTGCAATAGGACTTATTTTTAAAAAAAAAACACTGCTTTATTATGCATGGGAGTTAATGCTGTGCAGGCTGCATTTTTCTTTTCTATAGTAAAAATCGATTGTGTCAGATTGTTTAAATATTTGTTTTTCTCTCTAGATCCTCTTGCAACTCTGGCATCTGCTGCCATCTCATCTGCCCCAGTAGCTACACCCAAGATGTCAGATGCCAGTGTTGGCAGCATAGACTCCAAACTAGATGACATGAAGCCTGAAATGAAGCAGGAGAGAATCCTTGTCAAGAAAGATCAACAGCAGTGGTTTGATGTGGGCTTCATCAAGACAACATCCTGCACAGTATCACATTATCACTTGCCCTCGGAGAATGCCCAGGGCAACGCAGATGTGAGTCTAGTAGCTGCTTAGTTGTTTGTTTTTTGTATTAATAGTTGACCAAAGAGAGCCTAGTTGTCACTGTTGGCTACTGCAGTGACCTTAAGACATCCTGCACAGTATCACATTATCACTTATTCTACTAAATTAACATTCTGCAATGGAAATGCTTTAACTTTTCTTTGTATTAAAATTTTGTTTTCTAGGATATTGATGTAGTCAATGTTCCAGACCACAGTGTGTTGAAGAGACAAGAGTTACAACCTGGTACAGCCTACAAGTTCAGAGTAGCAGGCATCAATGCCTGTGGTCGTGGGCCTTTCAGTGAGGTGTCAGCTTTCAAGACTTGTCTCCCTGGCTTCCCTGGTGCACCCTCTGCTATTAAAATTAGCAAAGTAAGTGTGTTTAGCTGTTGAGTATGTTAATCATTTGTCAAACCCACCTGATTTATATAGTTGTGTTAATTTGTTCTGTTAAGATGTTAGTTTCATGAATAGTATTACAAAATATGGATGAAGCCTAATAAAGAAAAACAATCTTAACTATCAGCCATGTCTTGGGTCAGTATATCACTTTCTTTAAAATTAACCAAAGGTAATTTTTTTAAACTATCTACTTTGCACAAGGCAGTATATTGAAGGTCTATTTGGAGTAGAACATAAATGGGCAAAGAAAAAATACTTCAAATAAAAGAAATAGTACTACAATCACTCTCAAAGTTTTATTATTATTGCAATGTTAATGTCCAATTGTGAAAATATTGCTTATTAAGTGTTTGTTTTAATGACAGAGTAGTGATGGAGCCCATCTTTCCTGGGAACCACCCCAGAACACTGCTGGTAAAATTATTGAATACTCTGTCTATCTGGCTGTGCGGAACCAGAGTCAGGACACGAAGCCTGGGGCCCCAGCTCAACTTGCCTTTGTGCGAGTGTTTTGTGGACCTCTGCCCTCGTGTGTAGTGACCAACTCTTCCTTGACCTCTGCACATATAGACTACACTACCAAGCCTGCAATCATCTTCCGTATTGCAGCTCGTAATGAGAAAGGTTATGGGCCTGCAACACAAGTCAGGTGGCTTCAAGGTATGTAATATTATCTAATTATTCTAGGTGGGCCATTTAAAGTAATGTACTTATTTTGTAGTGCTTAAACAGTGGTATGCTGTTTTTGAGCTGCTGGAAATATATCTAGTCATATTTTTTTTTTTTTTTTTCTGGATTATAATGATTCAATGAAAAGATTATTATGCCTAAATATTTTTCTTGCAGATGCTTCCCAAAGTCCTGCAGCTGGTGGTCGAGGAGCCAAGCGACAAGGAACTGAAAATGTGTATGTATAAATATAACATTTTTCTTACTTTCTATTGTTTGTGTTTATATCAGATCTCTCCATTCCATGATTAAGGTGGAACAGATATCAGTTGTTGTTTTTTTACACTTTATGTTTTAAATAAAACAACAGTACATCATCATAGCCAAAAATCATTCATTATTATTTTTATTTTTTTTTTATTTTTTTTAGTCTGTATTGCTATATAGCTATTGTACATTAAACGTAAGTCTTAAATTATAATTCTATTAAACAACTATAATGAATTGATTTCCCTATTTGTCTCCTCAGCAAGCCTGGATCAGTTGTGAAGAAGCTGAAAGTAGAAGATGGTGGAGAGGGTTAGTTCAGTCATAGATTGTAGACCACACACCTCAATCTCATAGCTGGACCAGCTACTATCTTCTGCTTACTGTTGATATCCATACACATTTTTGGACTATGTACAGTTGAATTATTTCATTTTTAAGCCACTGGCTAAACTCTACATCATTAAGTGACCTTCATTCAATATTTGTGCACTCACAAACCAGAGTGCATTGCACATATTTATGTATATAATCATCCATGTACATTTTTGTTTCATCATTGTACATTTTTGTTTGGTTTTCATCATTTGTTTCATCAGTACTGTTGTCCATTAGAGTCCTAAGTTTGTGTATTGGGTGAAACATTTAAGTCCAATAGTTCTCATGTTTTCTTGAAGCAGAATGTCTTGTTTTATCTCACTAATACAAATTGTTGGGTCGCCCCACCTCATTTGTCAGAATTATATTGTTGTCAAACAAACATTAAGCTCTGGTATAATCTATGATTTAAACTTTGCAGTAATGTGGGATGTAGTTTTCCACTAACATTTCTATGAAAACATTATCATTGGCCCTGAGAGAACTCCAGGGCAATGCAAATGTGAGTCAAGTATGCGTTTGCTTTGACCAGTGATAGTCAGATCTTTTAAGTCTCATTTTAAACTATTGTCTGGCGTTTTTACTTTTCACTTGTCATGTAGGTGTGTCTGTGGAAAACCAAAGATGACCAAATCAAAACTTGGCCTGTTTTAGCTGTTTTATTCTGACAGTTTTAATTTCAATGTTTTATTGTCTGACAGATCCACCTTGTCTTAGACTTTCTTAGCTTTGTTAATATTGGGATTTTTAAGGAGATTCAATATTTGATTTTTTTTTTTTCGTTGTTCAGTACATATTTTAACAGTATACATAAACAATTTGTATTAGTCTATCACTTATGTTTTAGGTGTTAAGACTTCATATATTGAATTGATGTCATTTTCTGCCATACAAATTTAAAATGCCATATTTTTAAAACTAAGTAAGCCCCAGAGTTTTGTAAGTCACAGTGTTTCATTATTTTGTTCCTAATACTCATGTTTAACTTCATAATGATTATTGAATAATTGTTTTAGCTGGTGAACTTTTTTTTTTTTTTACTTTATTATTGTAAATATATATGAAAAAAAAAATATATATATATATCTATTTGTCAACTGTATATTGTTATTGAAGGTCTGCATATTGTTTCATACCTGAAGTTTGTTAGAATATAGCTATAAATAATAGTTCTAGGCCAAGACCAGTATGTTCTGATGGTGAAACCTGGATCTAAACTATCTCGAGAGATCATATTATTGTTGGTTTATTTCTTGTCTCATTGTCTCTGGCATCTTCAAATTATGTTATAGCTGTCTTGTTGTTCTTAGCTAGTCATTATTTACTTCTTTTTCTTTAAATTATCAAGCAATCTTTAGTTGCAGTTCAATTTGAATTCTTGTAGTGTTCTTTCATCTGATCGGGATGAAGTATTTTCAGACTCTTCTTGCTCTGACCATCATCCATTATACTTGTACTGTTCACCTCTTTGTTGAAGCCTTTTGTAAAGTTTTGATTGGATGTCATCTCTCATGTGACATAACATCACTGCCTCACTTTGAATAGCCAGCCTTGACATTGTGAGAGTGGTGTATCTCTTCAACCACCCCCACTTACGTAATGGATCTGTTGAAGTGATGTTGCTTTGAGAGACATTTTATCATTGCTATGTTCCCTTAGCCAATTCTAGTTCAGTGGTATTTGACCTATCAACATTGGAAAATTATACACCTACTAATTGTTCCTTACAGTCAGTGTTTTTGACTTCATTTTCTGGTATCATAATTTAACATACTTACAAAGGCCAGCTAGATGTAAATACTGTACAGTTACTATGATTGGATTGGTGACATTTCAGTCAACAGAAATTGCAATATATTAACATGAAGAAGAAAAACATTTATCATACACAAAATGTAACATTGAGTTATCAAATGTCTCTCTAATGTAAATTCATCTAGTTTTGGATTTCTAATGCATGTACACACAGCAGAAGCTCAACAAAAACATATATTCTAACATTCTTCAGTTCAGTCATTAATTCCTACTATGGATTAGTCAGGGATAAATTTAAACTTAACTCTCAATGGTGCAAGTTTATTTTATATTGCTTCTACGCTAATCAAGATAAAGGCTCAGAACCAGATTATATGTAACATCATGGTGCTTGACGGAGCAGCTTGTTAGTATGTATAAAATCCCAAATATACAAATTTCTTGCTTGTTGAAAAGTTTCTTAAGGTATAAAATTCCGGTGATCAGTTTTTGTAATCCTAGCAAACAAACAATTCAGTTTTTGGTTACTACAACTGTTTTCTTCAGTGTTTCCACATTGTATTTCTGTTTTGGTTCTATGCTTTCAGCTCTCATTAATAAAACATATTTATGGTGTGTTGCAGAGATCTACAGTTGTAACAAATTTAAGCTGAAGCAAAAAAACTTACAACTAAAAGCAATATTTTGACTTGAAATATCTGTTTTTCCTATTTTTAATTCAAATGAATTATTTACTGTGAATTTAATTTTTTTTTTAATGTCCTATGGATTTTCAAAAAAGTATATTTTTGAGTGGTGGACTTTGTATTGTTAAGATTTCACAAACTTCTTCTGGTCTCACTTTGTTTTGGTTTCTTTGCTTCTAGAAATAGCTAATTGTACAATGAGGGTGAGACTCCATGTGTTGTATGTTATTTTAAAATCTTGTTGCTATGTATCATGTTACATTTTTTTTTTTTTTTTGCTGGGTGTAAGGGAAGTGATCACCAGATGGTGAACTTTGCCCTCTCCTTGATGATGTTAACATGACATAATTTTGTTTGTAAATATTTTTTTTTTTTTTTTGTTTTTCAATATTTTGTTTCATTATCAAAGTTTGAATAAATATCATCTTCTTTGATTGTTCACTTGTTTGTTTCTGGTATTTGCTTCATTTAAATATACATTATGAATTTATGGGATAGCTTATTGACTGAGGCATGTAAAATTTCCATTAAGTTTAATACATTGGCCATTTATTTGGCTTTAATACATTGGCCCTTATTTGGCTATGTATTGTCATTGTGTTTATTTTATTATGTAAGCAATCTGATGTCACATTATAAAGGCCTGATGTGCTAATGATAAAGGTGTGATGACAGCACTTGCTTTTTTTTCGCAGATTGATGCACACTAGTTTTTCAATCAACAATAAATAACAAAAGTTGATTTTAAAAGTCAACTCCTTAGAGAACTTTAAAATATGAACTGATATTAAGCAATAAGCTTGTTAAAAGTATTGTAAATTCATGGGGGAAAGTGTTTGGATTCTAGGGAGAAAAATGACAGCACTTATCTTGTTACATTTCACTGGCCAAAAGTATTTGTGTGGATGTGTCAAAATACATCTGGATGGTTTCATTGAAAGTGAAATCAAAACAATTCTAACCTATGAACTATTTGAAGCAGCAAGAAAATGTGGGAGAAAAAGTTGAAAAATATACATTAGTTAGGTCAACTTTTTTGGCTTCACCTTTCAACAGGACATGGAAAAGATGAGCAAATCTTACAATAATTGGTTTTGGGTCACCTTGAAATTTTAAAACTAAAGTAAATTTACATATAGGAGAATAGCTATTGGGTGAAGCTAGTTAATGGAAAATAAAAAGAAATGTAACACAATTCTGAAGTAAGTGACACATTTATTTTTTATTTTAGTATTTATTTAATTTATTTTGTATTCCCCTTCCCCCCTCTTTTTTTTTAAAAACCTCCAATAAAAGTAATATTTGAAAAAAAAACAATATAGTAATTAAATATTTTATTATACTGTTCAGAGAATTAGGAAATTTCGAGATATGGATGGTAGAAATTTAACACATAGAAAATATCAATCTTTGCACACAGTAACACATAATACAAAATGATCTATGGTTTTTTTTGTGTGTGCTGCCAAACATTTGGACCACTAATAAAATGAATAAGAAGTTATATGCATCATTAATGTAAAACAAAAACATAGCCTAATTAATTTTGTTTTTTCTTGCTAACACAAAATCAACTATTTTTATTTTGTATAGGAGCTTTGAAATAGGTGAACAAAAAATTTAGTGATGTGTTGGTTCATAAACCTGTTCCTTTTTTGGAGTGGGTTTGAATTCCACTGTTATCTAAGATTCTTTATAGACAGAATGATAGGTGAAGTAAAATAAAAGTGTGGGAAAAAAATAGTTACAACAAAAATCTACAAAAATAAATCGAAACCATTATAGGGGGGAAAGGTCTGATCATTAATTTTAAGAAAAAAAGCCTAAAGCCATGTAGAGATTAAATAAACCAATTGTTTAAAAGGCATATTGAGAATGAGTAGCCTAAAAGCCATTAAGATACTGGATCTCTTAAAAAAAAAAAAGTCTTACAAATAAGTAAATCAATGTATATAATATGGTTATAAATCTAAATGAGGCAACTCAACAATGGAAAGGATTATTGGTCTTAATTTACAGGTAAACACCACAAACATTGGTAAGTCTTGGTCTTCAAATATTGCCTACAAGTTTCACTGTCGCCGCCTCTGTATCCACTTTCCTATGAGGTTAACAGTCTGTGTCACTCTCTACCTTCAGGTTGTCTTAAGAGCACAAACCCAACAGGACTTCCATTCGCAAAAGTACCCCTTCCAGTGTTTCTCAGAGCAAGTTCTAGCCCAATATGTTAGGTGGCAATCAAGTTTCTCCTCTTCTCAACTAAAAATTCTGACCGTATTCAATGATAAAATAATACGCTGGCGCACTCTTTAAGTGCCTGTGCAAGACTTACAAGAATATAATTTATGTCTAGAAATTTAAAAGCAAACATTAAAAAAAAATTTTTTTTTTATTTTGTTCTTTTTGTGTGCACATCTCATTCCCAAATGATCACAAAACAAATCAGGGACATGGTAACACAATTTACTATTGGCTGAAGTGATGAAATAGTTTCACATTCATAAGAAAATATGTCCCATACAATTTGTTGCATCATAAAACAAGTTCAACAAATTTACATAGAAATTTCTGACAGCACAGGTAGTTCTCTCCCTTTCCTAAGAGAAATGAAACACTGATGGACACCACATAGATTGTTGAGTTTTTTTTTACAACACAGAGCAATACATTACTCTAAGTATAAAATGTATAAAGAAAAAAAGACCAAAATCAAAGTGCTTGATGGAGGCATGTTTCCAATCAATGTCCAAAATTAAACTTGTCATGCCATTCAGAGAGGTTAAAGGTGAAATAACTTGTTATTTCTCCATAAGATTGGACTCAAAGTCATACATTATACATCTGTGGGCAATGAAAACTGGCTCATGTTATGGTGACAAGATAAAATATGCTGTTGATCATAGTTCTTAATATGCATGTAAACCAGAGACAAAGAATCTGTTCCCCATTTTTGTCATGACTCTGAATTCAGCTTACAGATATCTTCATACTGAACTCCTGACACAACTCGGCCTGCCACTAAGCCCTGAATAGTGAATCGAAAGATATTTTTAAGATTTAAACAATACAAGAGCTGGAAGAGGCATAATTTTGATTTCCTATTGGTGTACAAACAAAAACAAAAAAATTATAACATATTTTATTTGATAAAATATTTGTTTCTTAAATGTATTTTTAAAAATCCATTTCTGGATCGAGATTCATTGGTTATTTTTATGTATGATAGCCTGTGTTTAGATGGCAATCTCTGATTATGCTTAGCTGCGAACACATTGGCCAATATTACCTTTAATAGTGTTGGATGGGAAGACATGTAAAACTTAAATAAACCAATTGTAGAACTAAGAAAGAAATAAAGAGCATTTGAAAATAATCAGATTTTTAATAATCATAACAAACTAATATATTTATTCAATAAAATTTATTGCCTGATTTTATAATAGTTTAGTCTTAGTCACTTCCATTAATAGGTCTAGTGCTGACAGGTCTAGTATCAATACAAAAAAAACTTTGGAGCACTGGCGTAGCTAGGGTGGTGGGAGGAGGGGGTGGAAAATTTTAAAATCCCCCTGGGCCCCCACTTGAGTGTTTTTTTACATTATATATTACACAAAATGCAAGGCCCCCAAAGAGGTCAAGCCCCCCAAATGATAGGAAATTCCAAGCTACGCCTCTGCTTTGTAGTAGACAAAACTGTATTATTAAAGAGAACCAAATGGGCATAAGACTCACGTGTTTAATAGTTATTGTACAAGAAAAGTTTTTTTCATCTATAGCTTCTAGTGTGGCTTCCTCTCCTCTGTAAGCTCCATTGACCACCATCACAGTTTTACCTGTGAAAATTAAACAGGGAAGTGAACGTGCTATGTCATAAAAAGACAAGAACTATATCTGAGTGTATGGAAAATAGATAGGAAATAGTCTGTTTTAGGATTCCAGTAGTTGAGAATCACTGATACTATGACAGCCCTTTCTCTCTCTATACATTGTAATTTTACATTATAAGAACAAAAAAAGGTAGAAGTAGATTTATTCACTAGCTACAATGTCTTTTTTTTTTTATTCTATGATGCTAATATTATAGGTTGTCTACCTTTAAAACTTCGGAACACTTGCTATTAATTCAAAAATAAAATAATGATAAATGTCTTGCATTCTTTTAGCTCTTACAAATTAAACGTTGATCACAAATCAATATTTCCTAAACATAGTTTAAGCCTAATTCTTCTTTTTACATTTTTAGTATTAGTAGAGAATGCACCTTGTTTTCTTCAATCAACTCAAGACATGGATAAAACCTACCTATAGCTGGTATAACAGTCTCCACATGGCTCTGATCCACCTTCAGTTTATCACCACTATCTAGCATTTTAATGATACCAGTATACAAGTCTCTCACTTCCTGTTGACATAATAAAAAGTTGCCCTTTAAAACTGAGATATTATAGTTTTGAGGACAATGTAAACATTGACCCTAAAGAGTTATATTAACATTAAATTGTAATAATACTTTTTCTACCAGGGAGAGTTTTTCATTCTGCTTTACATGTTCTACAGAACAAAAAGTCTTGAGCTAGAACAAATAAGCTTACAAACAAGAGGACTTTGTTTACCTTCACTACAGCCTTTTTCTTGTAATATTTTTCTCCCAGTTTTTTGTGTACCACTTTCACCACAATGTTGGGACACAGCCAGTAATCTTTGCGATTGATTTTCTCTTTTTTCTTCTCCTCCACCTACTCAAAAAGAAGTTCTTTTAACATTGACATTATTTTCGTTTCATAAAGTTCAGTGACTTGAAGTACACATCAGCTTTTATTTCTATACATATCCAACTTTAAATTTTGCTACTTTTGAGTAAAAAAATAATTATAGCTGCAACATTTTAGTGGATATAAAAGATACTTGCACAAACCTCACCCTAATAGCCAATTTTAAGCTGATAATTGATGTAGGTTAAATTAACATTACAAACTTCAGCATAACGTTAATTTTGGATACACAATCATTGGTGGCAAAACTATCACACAATTACAAATGAGCAATAAATGGAAAAATATGTATTTTTAAGATATTTTTTATTGAAGGTAAATCAGGTTCAACTAAAAGTGGAAAGTAACTTCATTTAATTTAATAATTTTAATGTAATGTAGGACCTTTTTTTTTTTCAGCATAATAATTTTTTAAAAGTTAGCAAGAAACATCATCCAGGTCACTAAAGAATAATTTGTTTAAAAGCAACACTGACCTCCATAATTTCCTCTAGTGCAGTTTTTGTTTTTCTTTTCTCTGTTTTATGGGAGCTGGAGGTGACACTCTTCAACTTTTCTGACACTTTGTCCACTAACATCAATGGATTGTTTGATGTGCTTGGTCTGGAAAACAAAATTAAATTGGATGTATATAATAATATAAGCATAACATTAGTTGATTAAGTTACAAAAAAAGGACAGCTTTATGAATTGTGGGGCCTAATTAAATGAATGCTGCAAGGCCTCTGTTCTAATTTAGTTTACAATAACAACTATTACTATTAAAAAGTAAAAAAGTAAAGTTCCCCTTTCAGACCTTGTGGTCTATAGGGCAGATGATGTAAAGGTCATCCGATTCTGTGGCCTACGGTTTATGAAGGTGTCATGTGGCCTGGACAACGATCAACTGCCTTTACTTTTCCCCAACTAATGTCAGGTACCCATTAGAGCTGGGTGGACTCAGAGTCGCCCAAGGATCCCGAAATAAAAATCCTAGTCTTCACCAGGATTCAAAACCGGGACCCTTGGTTCAGAACCCAAGCGCTTTACCGCTCAGCCACATTGCCTCTACTATTACTATTCATTTGATCATTATATCAACATTTGTTATACAACATACATAGGAAGCAACTCAAACACAATAGGCGTCAGTGGGTTTATAATAGTTACATAAATTATATGATACATTAAATATGTTGATTCTTAAGTCCTAAATCTTTAAAAGCCTATGACATAGTGATATGCTTAATGTAAATTGCGGGGCCCCAGCAAGGCCCAGAGCCCAAATAGGAGCAATATGTCAAATCGTCTAAAGGCCAAAGCTGTAGCTTACTCTATTTTTTTAATCCCAGGATCTGCTTTCTTTGTTGTGTTCAGGGTCAAAACAATTTTTTCACTTTCATCCTCTCTCTTGAGCTCCGTGCACTGGTGCTCTTCTTTCTCTGTACTGCTTTCTTTTGCCCTTTCAATCTGTCGCTCAATAAACTTGGCAATCTTTTCATCATCATCTGCATCCATTTTCTCTTTAGCTTTGACAGCCTCCTGCCTACGAATAGTTTCAGGGTCTCTGTCGATGTATGTGATAAACCAGCCTTTCTCAGTGTAGTCCACAACACATTTTCCTGTTTTTAAAAATAGCATAGCCTTATTAGAGAGGGTTTTTTTTATTTTACTATAAAACTATTTATTTCACAAGGGACACAATGCAATAATGGATTTGAGTCAGATTTAGCCAATTTGATTAAACTATGTAAAGAGATTCACATATAGTCAACAGTACAAAAGAAAGGCAAAACACATGGTGGACTCACCTTCTTTCCCT